TAATTATGGTTTTGGGTCTTTTTGAGACAGGGTCTCCCTGTAGCTCTTGCTGACCTGGAATTGGCTATGTAGTCCAGGCTGGCCTCAAACTCACAGAAGTCTACCTGCTTCTGCCTCTCAAGTGCTGGGATTAAAGGCCTGTGCCACAGCACCCAGCTAAAATAGGAGTCTTAGGGTTTGGTTTTTTTTTTTTTTTTTTTTTTTTTTTTTGTCTTTTGAGAGTGTTTCCCTGTAGCCCCACTGGCCTGGAACTCATTATGTAGACCAGGCTGACCTCTAACTCAGAGAGATCAGCCTGTCTCTGCCTCCCAAGTGCTGGGATTAAAGGCCTGTGCCACCATGCCTGGCCTCTCTTAAAAGTTTTTTGTTTGCTTTGAAACCTTGCCTCCTGTAGCTTAGAATGGTCTTGGACTCTTGATCCTCCTGCCTATACCTCCCAAGTGCTAGGATTACAGATGTGTACCCCTCCTCATCAACCTCCTCCTCCTTCTCAACCTCCCCCTCCCCCTCCTCCTTTTTTGAGACAATATCTTCCCATGTACCCTGGTTGGTCTTGAATTTGAAATCCTCCTATTTCAGTCTCCGAAGTGCTGAGATTACAGGTATGCACTACCACAGCAGCCTTATAGGATTCTTATAAAACTCAAATGAGATGCTGAAAGCATTTAGCAGTATGTGGGGTGGGGCTGGGCTGCAGCATAGTAGTAGAGTAGTAGAGATCCCCAGTTTGATTCCCAATGCTGAAAAAAAAAGAAAAAAAAAACTGTGCAGTGAAGCCAGAGCCTGTTCCAGGGGACACAACTCTCTGTTCTGGTCCCTACATTTACATACAAGCAGGCAAAACACTCACACACATTAAACAAAAGTTAAAAAAATTAAAAATCTGCCAGGTGTGGTGGTGCACATCTTTAATCCCAGAATTTGGGAGGGAGAGGCAGGTTGATCTCTGTGAGTTCAAGGCCAGCCTGGTCTACAAAGTGAGTTCCAGGACAGCTGGAGGTGGAGCTGGAGTCTCAAAAAAGACACCCCCCCCCCAAATTAAAAATCATTTATTAAAAAACAAAACAAACAAAAAAAAAAACCTATGCCGGGTGTGGTGGCAAGACTTGTAGATCCATGGAACAAAATAGAAGACCCAAACATGAGTGCATGCAATTTCAGCCACCTGATATTTGACAAAGAGATCAAGAACACACACTGGAGGATAGAGCATCTTTAACAAATGGTGCTGGCAATTTGGATCTCCACCTGTGGAAGAATG